CATTCTCAACCTTCAAAAAATCCCTACAAAGTACCATTAATTTTTCACGAATTTTCCAATAAATTATCGACTTTCCCCCGTAACGAATCTCCCAGACCTAACTTGAATGCAAAAACTATTCTGGACTCAGCTTTAGGGTCTACTCTATCATTCTCAACCTTCAAAAAATCCCTACAAAGTACCATTAATTTTTCACGAATTTTCCAATAAATTATCGACTTTCCCCCGTAACGAATCTCCCAGACCTAACTTGATTGCAAAAACTATTCTGGACTCTGCTTTAGGGTCTACTCTATCATTCTCAACCTTCAAAAAATCCCTACAAAGTACCATTAATTTTTCACGAATTTTCCAATAAATTATCGACTTCCCCCCGTAACGAATCTCCCAGACCTAACTTGAATGCAAAAACTATTCTGGACTCTGCTTTAGGGTCTACTCTATCATTCTCAACCTTCAAAAAATCCCTACAAAGTACCATTAATTTTTCACGAATTTTCCAATAAATTATCGACTTCCCCCCGTAACGAATCTCCCAGACCTAACTTGAATGCAAAAACTATTCTGGACTCTGCTTTAGTGTCTACTCTATCATTCTCAACCTTCAAAAAATCCCTACAAAGTTCCATTAATTTTTCACGAATTTTCCAATAAATTATCGACTTTCCCCCGTAACGAATCTCCCAGACCTAACTTGATTGCAAAAACTATTCTGGACTCTGCTTTAGGGTCTACTCTATCATTCTCAACCTTCAAAAAATCCCTACAAAGTACCATTAATTTTTCACGAATTTTCCAATAAATTATCGACTTCCCCCCGTAACGAATCTCCCAGACCTAACTTGAATGCAAAAACTATTCTGGACTCTGCTTTAGGGTCTACTCTATCATTCTCAACCTTCAAAAAATCCCTACAAAGTACCATTAATTTTTCACGAATTTTCCAATAAATTATCGACTTCCCCCCGTAACGAATCTCCCAGACCTAACTTGAATGCAAAAACTATTCTGGACTCTGCTTTAGTGTCTACTCTATCATTCTCAACCTTCAAAAAATCCCTACAAAGTACCATTAATTTTTCACGAATTTTCCAATAAATTATCGACTTTCCCCCGTAACGAATCTCCCAGACCTAACTTGATTGCAAAAACTATTCTGAACTCAGCTTTAGGGTCTACTCTATCATTCTCAACCTTCAAAAAATCCCTACAAAGTACCATTAATTTTTCACGAATTTTCCAATAAATTATCGACTTTCCCCCGTAACGAATCTCCCAGACCTAACTTGAATGCAAAAACTATTCTGAACTCAGCTTTAGGGTCTACTCTATCATTCTCAACCTTCAAAAAATCCCTACAAAGTACCATTAATTTTTCACGAATTTTCCAATAAATTATCGACTTTCCCCCGTAACGAATCTCCCAGACCTAACTTGAATGCAAAAACTATTCTGAACTCAGCTTTAGGGTCTACTCTATCATTCTCAACCTTCAAAAAATCCCTACAAAGTACCATTAATTTTTCACGAATTTTCCAATAAATTATCGACTTTCCCCCGTAACGAATCTCCCAGACCTAACTTGAATGCAAAAACTATTCTGAACTCAGCTTTAGGGTCTACTCTATCATTCTCAACCTTCAAAAAATCCCTACAAAGTACCATTAATTTTTCACGAATTTTCCAATAAATTATCGACTTTCCCCCGTAACGAATCTCCCAGACCTAACTTGAATGCAAAAACTATTCTGGACTCTGCTTTAGGGTCTACTCTATCATTCTCAACCTTCAAAAAATCCCTACAAAGTTCCATTAATTTTTCACGAATTTTCCAATAAATTATCGACTTCCCCCCGTAACGAATCTCCCAGACCTAACTTGATTGCAAAAACTATTCTGGACTCTGCTTTAGGGTCTACTCTATCATTCTCAACCTTCAAAAAATCCCTACAAAGTTCCATTAATTTTTCACGAATTTTCCAATAAATTATCGACTTCCCCCCGTAACGAATCTCCCAGACCTAACTTGATTGCAAAAACTATTCTGGACTCTGCTTTAGGGTCTACTCTATCATTCTCAACCTTCAAAAAATCCCTACAAAGTTCCATTAATTTTTCACGAATTTTCCAATAAATTATCGACTTTCCCCCGTAACGAATCTCCCAGACCTAACTTGAATGCAAAAACTATTCTGGACTCTGCTTTAGGGTCTACTCTATCATTCTCAACCTTCAAAAAATCCCTACAAAGTTCCATTAATTTTTCACGAATTTTCCAATAAATTATTGACTTTCCCCCGTAACGAATCTCCCAGACCTAACTTGAATGCAAAAACTATTCTGGACTCAGCTTTAGGGTCTACTCTATCATTCTCAACCTTCAAAAAATCCCTACAAAGTACCATTAATTTTTCACGAATTTTCCAATAAATTATCGACTTTCCCCCGTAACGAATCTCCCAGACCTAACTTGAATGCAAAAACTATTCTGAACTCAGCTTTAGGGTCTACTCTATCATTCTCAACCTTCAAAAAATCCCTACAAAGTACCATTAATTTTTCACGAATTTTCCAATAAATTATCGACTTTCCCCCGTAACGAATCTCCCAGACCTAACTTGATTGCAAAAACTATTCTGAACTCAGCTTTAGGGTCTACTCTATCATTCTCAACCTTCAAAAAATCCCTACAAAGTACCATTAATTTTTCACGAATTTTCCAATAAATTATCGACTTTCCCCCGTAACGAATCTCCCAGACCTAACTTGAATGCAAAAACTATTCTGAACTCAGCTTTAGGGTCTACTCTATCATTCTCAACCTTCAAAAAATCCCTACAAAGTACCATTAATTTTTCACGAATTTTCCAATAAATTATCGACTTTCCCCCGTAACGAATCTCCCAGACCTAACTTGAATGCAAAAACTATTCTGAACTCAGCTTTAGGGTCTACTCTATCATTCTCAACCTTCAAAAAATCCCTACAAAGTACCATTAATTTTTCACGAATTTTCCAATAAATTATCGACTTTCCCCCGTAACGAATCTCCCAGACCTAACTTGAATGCAAAAACTATTCTGGACTCTGCTTTAGGGTCTACTCTATCATTCTCAACCTTCAAAAAATCCCTACAAAGTTCCATTAATTTTTCACGAATTTTCCAATAAATTATCGACTTCCCCCCGTAACGAGTCTCCCAGACCTAACTTGATTGCAAAAACTATTCTGGACTCTGCTTTAGGGTCTACTCTATCATTCTCAACCTTCAAAAAATCCCTACAAAGTACCATTAATTTTTCACGAATTTTCCAACAAATTATTGATTTCCCCCCGTAATGAATCTCCCAGTCCTAACTTGACTGTAAAAACTCTTCTGAACTGTGCTTATGGGTCAACCGAACTCTATCATCCTCAAATTTCAAAAAAATTGCACAAAGCATCAATATTTTTCCACAAATTTTCAAACAAATTATCGTTTTTTCCTCGTAGTAACTTTTCCAGACCTAACTTAACTGGAGCAAATATCCTCGAATGTGCCTGAGGGTTATTTCTAGTTTTTCCGAATCCCAGAAATCCCCTACATAATATAAAAATTGTATTTGATTGAATTTCACGGTTTTTTAATTTTTCTTTTCAATAATTATCTGGTCGACTGTAATATACACGAATCTGAATATGAATATGAAGCTAACTTCAGCTACGTGAAAAATTATGTGGACAGAATTATACCTACAAACACAACAGTGCAAGATTTTTAGGATGTAAAAAGACAAAAACATAAAAAATAGAGAAAATAGAAAGTTAGAAGGACAAAGTAATTATAGAGATATAGCAAAACTATGACAAATTAAGTATTATCAGTATAAGCCCAGATGAAGCCCTAAAAGTTTTGGATGAAATGTTGGCAAAGCTCTACATTTTTTAGGCGAAACGTTGGCAAAGACTTAACAGGCCTTTTTTTTTTCTTGTCCTAACCGACGAATCCCCCCGTTCATTGGATACCGATAGAACACGAACTTCACTTAGTTATAGGTGATATTATCAAATATTTCTACATTCCCTTGGATTATCTTTGTTTATTACTTTAGTTTATGAGACTTTCTGAGAGCAAAACCATTTGCTATCGTTGCATTTATTTGGTGCAAAGAGAAGTGAGTGTGAAAAATACACGTGAAATCTCTTTTATTTATTGCAATAATATTGGCTGAATATTCGCCGGCGGGAATGCGAATCCAGGAAAAATTTGCTTTGATTGGTCATTGCTTTTGAACACATATTGATTATGGCCGAAGTCATATTAAGTTTTTTTAGCAGACAAAAATATGCATATTTTTCAAATATGAGCAAGAATCTTTCTTTGAGCTACCAATACCTGTCAAAAAAAGTCCCAAATCCCTAACGTCGATGAAACATCCCCTTCTTGACAAAAACCAGCTCTAAAATGAACTTTATAGGTTTTTAAAAATACTACAACTCGTAAGCCATTGCCCTGTTAAAAGCCCCATAGAAGCATCAATATTCTGGCCTTTCCATACCTGATGAATTGGGGAATCTCAATATCTAGATTGGCTCACTAGGTGTTTGAAAGAAGCGAGTATTTATTGGAAGACATTTTTTACTATAGCTGCCTCATACAGTGTCAGTTTCATCGTTTCTCCAGCCTATGCAATATCTCCTTTTGTTCAAAATCAACTGCTCTGACGATATCGTCTAAGTTTTTCCTACTCTTCAAAATCATATCATTTCCGAAAAAATGAAGAGGTTATATGGTATCCATGGCAACAATTCAAATTAATACTAATTAAATAATATTGTTGTATGTTTCTATTTCACCAACTACAATATACCAGACAGTATTAAAATTACGTAGATGTCATATTCCATCGACTGTCCAAATTATTACAACCAAAGAATACATCGTTTTTGCCGGAGCACTTTTATCTTTACATTGACTAGACTATCTACTCTAGATAATTAATTTGTTTCAATAATTCCAGAGTCATCAGACGTACCTTCAAAAAATGGTGAAATTAACAAAGAGTAGACACCGGAAAATTGATTCTGAAGTAGTTGGTGACTTTTACCATAAATTTCACAAGATTCCCGAAGAGATTAATTGGATCGAAAAGGGTTTTGTAACACCTGCTTATAACCAGAAAGACTGCGGCTCGTGCTACGCTTTCAGCATAGCTGGTATGCTTCAGGCTCAAATTTTTAAGCAAACAGAAAAACTAGTTCCACTGAGGTTAGTTGACGAAACTATTACTTATAATGCTGAATATTATAAATCTGTTATCTGTTAGCTCTCAGCAATTGGTGGACTGCAGCTCAAAGAATGGAAATTATGGGTGTAGCGGAGGCTCTTTACGAAATACCTTACGGTATTTAGAAAATACTGGTGGACTGATGGCTTATAGTGATTATCCATATATTGCAACGGTAAGAAAATGGTGACTTATAGAATAGATGATGAGATACCTAAGTGATTTTTCTATCTTAAATGTATTGAACAGAAATTTTTAAAACCATACAAAATACACACTTTGCAACGAACGAATATGACTTCAATCATATACGTATAAAGTGATCGGAATTTCGTTAGAAAGATAATATTTTTTCCGACAGAACAACTTTTAAACGGCTATTGGAGTAGCGTATAGGGCTGGGCGATTATCAAAATAAATAATCGATTATCGATTATTAAAAATAATCGATTATTTTCGATTAATCGATTAATCGAAAATAATCGATTAATCGGAAATAATCGATTAATCGGAATAATCGATTAATCGAAAATAATCGATTAATCGAAAATAATCGATTAATCGAAAATAATCGATTAATCGAAAATAATCGATTAATCGAAAAGAATCGATTAATCGAAAATAATCGATTAATCGAAAATAATCGATTAATCGAAAATAATCGATTGATCGAAAATAATCGAAAGTAGGTAATCGGTTAATCGAAAATAATCGATTATTTTCGATTAATCGATAATTTTTTTTGATAAATCGTTTATTTTCGATCTATCGATTATTTTTGATTATTCGATTATTTTTGATTATTCGCTTATTTCACAATAATCGGTAGATTTTTTTCTTGGGTTTCATGAAGTAAAAGAAATTCACTTGCCCTTAACCGGTTAGTTTTGAAATAAACTCTCTGGTTACTTTGGAGTTTGAGGCCCGGTTTATTCATCTTCAGATAGACTTGCTGGTTGACAACTATTAGCAAGATCAATTTACCCTTCTATAATTATTGTCTCGGTCGACCAAGGGCCGACCAATAACTGGCCGACCAATGGGATTACAGATTGCGTTATTATCCGCGAAATTGCATACCGAACAGTTTATCAGAAGGTGAATAAACCGGCCCTTAGATATGCAAACAAAAACAAAACATAAAATTATCTCAAAAATAATAGATTAATCGTAAATAATTGATCAATCGAAAATAACCGATTAATCGAAAATAATCGAATAATCGAAAACAATCGAATAATCTAAAATAATCGATTATCGAAAATAATCGATTAATCGAAAATAATCGATTAATCGAAAATAATCGATTAATCGAAAATAATCGATTAATCGAAAATAATCGATTAAGCGATTATCGATTATTTGAAAATAAAATAATCGACTAATCGATTAATCGATTAATCGATTATTTTGCCCACTCCTAGTAGCGTAGCGTAAATCCACACTGAATGCTTTATGACGATATTATACTCAAAAACCAAAAAGACCCAAGCTCCGGTATACTGGGTTGTAAGTTTCAAAATTCGATTTTTCTTTCAAATTTGACGATTGTTCAGGCACGTTGACTTTTTCTTCACTTTGTAAGTATTTATTCTATACGTTTATTAATGTTTTTTTTCGTATGTGTTCTAGCAAGGAAAATGTCACTTTAAAAAAGATTTGGCGATAGTCAATATAACTTCCTGGGCAGTCTTACCACCTAGAGATGAGAAAGCTTTAGAAGCGGCAGTAGCAACTGTGGGACCTATTGCAGTATCAATAAATGCAGCTCTACATACCTTTCAATTTTATCAGTAAGTACTTCAGATATAGGTGCAAAAAGAAATAGGTAAATGCAAATTTTTACATTCGCCATCATAATGAAGCCGTCATTTTCCTTCCATTTGCAAATATTACGATGTGAACGAGACGGAATCATAAGCTAAATTTAATGACATTGTGAGTATAGTGGAGAGTACACGTAGATTAGCTAGCAAAACGGGTTTCTAAAATTTACTTATCTCAAAGTGTCACTTGAAGGAGGAATTCTCTTCTTCAAACTATCCATTTCTTGAAGGAACTTTCTGGCGAACAGTTTCAACTTGCAGACAAGCAGTTCCTGATGAACATCAGGTCCATATTTCTGACAACTACCCCCGACTTACTTCATGTGATTAGTTAGGTACTTTTTGACTCACTTCTGCCATTGCATTCTCGAATTTATCACCTTATTTTTCCAGGAATATGGCTTGTTCTTCAGAGATAGAGTTTGATTCGATTCTCGCTGAAACTTAAAGTTTTTCTCAAGCCAGTTCTGGTTTTGTCTTCGGGCTTTTTCTTCGTGCCTATCTTTCTATCTTCGGGCTTTCTTTTCTTGTCTGTCTTTCTTTCTTTGATTTTTCTCTTGTTGTCTTTCTTTCTGTCTTCGGTCTTTCTCTTCTGGACTCTTAATTTTCTTCGATCTTTTTTGTGAAGACCACCAACATTTATTAAACTTGCTCCATTTTGGCTATTGCCCTCGTGTATTCCCAATAGAAGATTTTGAATATAAAGCTCGTTCGCGAAGTAAATATTCTTCTACCTGGTCGAATTTTCAAATAGAACAAGATAGAATATCTGAGTAAAATCACTCTGTGGACTTGTTTTTGATGTCGAAGCCAGTTATTAAAGTCTCTTTTTTTTTTTAAAAAAAATCACTTATTGTTCCAACTAGGCAGCTCAAATTAATCAAGATGATAAAAAGTCTGCCCTATACAGGATGGTCAGTTGCTTAGTGTAGCGTGGGCCATTGTCGCCCGGGGCGGAATCATAATTTGCCGCCCTTCTGACGTCATAAAAATAATGATGTTGGTTGCCGGCCGCTTGACACTTAAAGCGCAAGTTTTGAAGGGTACAAGAACGGGAAATGTTGCGGGCCTCTTAAGGGTTGACGCTCGGGGCGGTACGCCTCTTCGCCCTTCCACGCTACGCCACCGAGGATGGTTCACGTTATTGAAAGTTTTGGAGAACTGGAAAAATAATCACTCCAAATGGTATGCAGCCTTAACCGATGATCTATCTTCTCAAACTTTTTCGAGAAATACCTAGGTGTAGAGCTTTGCAAGTCTGCCCGAAACCAGGGCAACAGAAGCAGACTGGCCCATTTGAACACCAGAAGAAAAAAAAAACCTTGTGGATTCAATTATACGAGTCCGAGTAAACTGCTCCATAATATTGCATAGAGTCACAAGAAAAACTCTGTCCAATATATCCCCGGACCGCCTAGCGCTAGGAACAATCATTGACACTGGGGCGAAGCCACAGAACCACGAAACGACAAGCACAACAGACAACTAGAGGACGTGCGCATAGACGGGCGGTACCGGTTACGAGGCCGTTTACATCACAGGAACAGCTTGACAGCTTGGTGGATGCTCTAACAAATATATATTATACCTTTGTAGACACAGTAGCACCTGAAAATAGAGAAACCTAAATAATCGAATGTCTGGAGAAAAATTAACTACAATTCAGCATCCAAAAGCTCAAAAATACACACGCTCGGTTTTGAAGCAGAATCCGATTTTTCAGAAGACTCCAACACAGAACAGATGAACACAATGGCGAATATCACAATTGTAGAGGCCTTGACAGCAGGAAAAATGATTTCTAAACGTACTCAAAGAGGTTTCAAAGGAGAAAAGATATGGATCAAACCGATACTTTAGGCAGTACAAATGGACAAAAAGATGGGATTTGAAAAACATACAAAACAAAATATGGCGTAGCTGCGGAAAACGAGGCATTTTGAAGCTGTTTGCAAAAGCCAGACAAATAAAAGCCAATACGGTAGGTTCCTCCAGAAATAATGAGAACAACCGCAGTCTGCCAGTACCCCTGCCGTAAAAGACACGATAAGGATATGCATGCTACACTTCACAATTAAGAGAAATAATAAAACGTTTACCATCTATTGTCGACACAAGTGCAGAGAATAACCAGATCCAGAGGCAACTGACTACTGGACGCCTCCAGAGGGGCAACAACACGGTCGTAATTGCAACCGGATGCCACCAAATACCTATATCTTGGGAGAAATAGACGTGCCATTTGAAATAGAAGAATAAGGTCATCGCCTCATCGATACCACCAACAATCCTGAAACTTTTACCCATGAATAGAGCTTCATAGATCCAACAAAGAAACTGCTGATACTGGAGAGAGAACATAAATTCCCTCTACGCCCAAATGAAAACAAAAAATCAACATGTCCGGTCTTCTCACTGATTCGTGAGATAATATTACTTACTAGGATACAATGATTGAAGTAATGATGAGCTTATTAAAAGAAGCACGAAAATCCTGTCAATTTTGGTATTCGGGGTAGGTACAGTCGTGAGCATTGAAAGTGGGACACCCGACTTTTCCTATTGTAAAACGAGCTTATCAGCTATACCTACTACAATGACAGCGATTGTCATATTTGACAAAAAGTCCATTGTATAGAAAAGACTGATTTACCCAAAATAGCGAAAAATTACAAGACTTGTCAGTCGGGTGTCCCACTTTCAATGCGCACGACTGTACGTAACCCGAAAGTACCGAACTAAGAAAGCCGTTCATAAAAAATATACACGGTTGGCAATGCAACGTCTTACATGCGGAGATTTCTAGTGCCATAGAAAGAGATGGCAAACACACGTTTTTGGTTTTTGCTTTGTAGGACTTCTAAGAGAAAAAGCCACACTCTATTAAAGGTCTATATAGTATATACCTACCTATCTTTCTTATTGTGTGAATCTCCTTGCAACCTGTGTCTCTGAGCGTGCTTTCGCTTATGTTGCACTTTGCACTGAAGTACCCAATGATTGAGATTTCCGGTTTCTCCATTGTTCAAAACCACACGTATTGCGTAAATCATCATTGTATGGACTTTGGTATAAGACAAGTATTAGCAGTGTATTTGGCGCTTTGACTTTTACTTTCGATCTACACTTTACACCCTCATTAATTTCTTACCCTCCCTCGTAGGCAAATAGCTGTCTATGCAACAAGTGTGTGAAGTGAACCTTTTTTCACGAATGTGAATTTGGACGAACGAGCCGAAGACTCGCCTTCGGCTCGTTCGTTCGCGACAATTACGAGTGAAAAAAGGTGCTGTACAGTTTACACACATAATGCGTACACATTTTTTCCTACTATCAATAAAAAATGTGTGAAAAAATAAATTAAGACAAATACTTCACGCACTAGTGCGTGAAGTAGGAACGTTCACTTTACGCACTATTGCGTGCAATAATTTACTAGAAAAATACTGAATTGACAGTGTTGACATCTTTCATTGACATTGATTACTTTAGGCACTAGTGTGTAAAGTCAATTACTTTACGCACTGGCGCGTGGAGTGAAATTTGACGTCTTTTGAATGGTGCGTGAAGTGAGTACCTACTTTATGCAATTCTGTTCAACTACCTGAACCATTCAAAAAATGAACAATTTCAACCAAATAGGCACAAAGCTATTAGAAATTTCGAACTTTATCGTAAACTTTGCATTTCGTTTGGCTAGCCTACCAGGATTTTGGATCTGTTTTGAGATCTTTATCGGAAACTAAAAACTTTTCTGACGTTTTCTCGAATTTTAGCATTATGTAACATAAAAATCTGATGTCTAAAATTAACAAAAATATTTTTTTTAGCAAAGGCCTTTATGATGATCCCGGATGCACATCTCTTAGCGTAAATCACGCCATGCTGCTTGTAGGTTACACAAAAGACGCCTGGATATTAAAAAACTGGTGGGGAAAACACTGGGGAGAGCAAGGATATATGAGGCTGAGAAGGCATAAAAACAGGTGCGGTGTTAGTAATTATGCGGCCTATGCTTTGGTGTGAAAAATTTTAGAATAAATATTACTTGCTATAAATTACTTGGCTATTGTTATTTTCGGATCCCTAAAAGATTATTCAAGAGTTGGGCTGGTGAAAATAAAATATAATTTTGACAATTTGCAAAATAAATTGGGATGGTAGGTAAGGTAAAGTGGGGTAAATGTGTAAAAGGGGCAATTGTGTTATAGTCCCGCCAAAAATTTGAAAAATGACAATCAACCAAAGCCATCCATGTCAATCTCTTATCATCATAACTGTTCACACTCCTACCACTTTTACGTGCGGCGCATGCTTCGTCAGTCATTCAATAGTTTCATTAGGCGCGCGTTTTTAATAATCTTGCGAGTTGCGTGATTTTTCTGTTTATGTGTGTGAACTTTTCATTTAAAGTGGTAAGTTAATAAGTAAGATATTATTACTTGAAGTGGGGTCAATCGACGCTTTTTTTAAACTAGTGTGTTTATTTTACCAACATTTCATGGTTTTTTCAACTTTTGATACTATCTCACATTTGCCCCAGAAATTTTTGCATTTGGGGCAAATGCAAATGTGTTTTACAGTGGCGGGGAACTAGTGTTATAGTACCTATATCACATTTGCCCCTTTAATGTTTCAGTATTGCTACGGAGCGCAACTACAAAAGAAAGACCACCGATAATAAAAAATATACGAAGGACAATCTAGTATTAACTATTGATGAAGCCAAAAGAACAACAATTTACAGAGCTTCTAAAATAAATGGAATTCTTTACGTTACATTACATTCCCGAATGAAAGGTATACGTGGAGCAAAGCAAGGCAAGAAGAAGTTACCATCAGGACCATCAAGTATTTGCCAGCAGCGTGTGTCATTTGAAGATCTTTTGTTATCTGCAGTCAAACAAACTCCAAAGCCACCGACACAGAAAAAACTAGAATAGAACTTCGTTGACCAGTCAGAAACAACTACTCCGAGGGCAAATACCCCTACCGGCGTTGAACTACACTGATTGGTCTGAGCTTTCGTTGGCAATGGAAATTGTTAGAAATATTTTTTCAGGTAATGACCAACGTGAATACAGGAACACTACGGTCCCTGTTTGGGAATCGGCCCACTGAGCAGTGGACTGCTCAGTGGGTATTTCTAACAAAACTAGAATATGTCCCGAAACAAGCTTGACTTTCCAGTTCGCTTTGGGGGCTATAATTTATAGTTTTGTACCTTTTGACAAGTACTCCTACACTTTGTAATGTTTTGCTAATGTTTTGAAAAGCTGCTTTTTTGCTTCGTAGTTTAAAAAGTTTATAACTTTTGTAATATTTGAGATATTTTGATCAATAAAAAATCGAAATGCGTCAAATTTTCTATATTTTATGCATTTGCCCCAATAAATACACATGCATGAAATTCAAACATACAGCCCGTTATAACATTTGTCCCGAACTCTGGGGTAAATGTGATATAATGGGCTTGTTTTAAAAAAATACACCCTACAAAAAAAGTATAATGATATCTATTCTGAAAATATATTACCAGATAATAAACATGTTAGAAATGTATTGTAATTTATTTCAAAATTTAAATGGTTATATTTTTCATTTGGCAGCGCTATAAATTCAACCTAATAAAAAACTATATCCACTTCACCTTACCTTGTTTTCAATTTTCCATTGATTTGACTATGCAGATCATATTAATACCTACTTCTAACTTTTTCCAGCTTGTTCTGCAAAGTAATAACACTGTTTAGACTGAGTTTAAGTATTTTCGTAGTTATGGCAGCATTTAAATTTAAAAAAATGTTAACAATGTAACAACCATTGTACAAATATTTATTCTCCGGGCACCTGAGATAAAATGTAAAGAAATTATAACTCACTTAATTCAAAAAAAAAAAAATAGTTTTTTTTTGCAACGTGTTTATTTGTGCCCAGGGTCCCTATTCTCGAAACAGTTCTCATGGAGAACGGAGGTTGCATCTTCGTCACCCATATTCATGTATCCATGATACTGACAAAGACAGAGCAATCGTTCTCATGGGAACGCTGTTTACCCGGTTTCGAGAATAGAGGTCCAGGTATGAGTGTTTTGTACAAAATTCAGATATCTTTGTATTTTTTGGAGAAATCATTCACAAAAACGAACTCTGCCTGGAAAATCTTCAGGAGACAATGCCTGCAAACGCTGCAGATAATACGGATAAAGCAATTTTGTCGGAGGGTCCGATGAACTGTCGAGTGGATGGGAATATCCAACTTGTCGGACAATGGATCGAGTGGTATCACTGCTATCTTCAACTAGCGATTAAACCTGTTCTTCATCGGCAGGTATCATATTCGTCAAGACTCCGATTACCATTTCGCACACTATATATTATTATAGACATTGCAAAATGAACAAAATGTTCTTTCGTTCGAGGTACCCTCCTATTGGGAAATATTTCCCTGTAAATTCTGGCGGCTAAAATGAGCACTCTGTGACGATTCTCCGTGAACAAGTACAAGTACTACATATTTGACGATTATAAACATTTTATTTTGAAAAAAAATATAAATTACGCGCGTTTTCAATAGTACTTGAAATAAATAACAAATCACGAATCAATTCCGTTCAACTACCTGAACCACCTATTCATTTTTGTACTATGTTGCCAGATGTTTGGAAACCGAATTACGAGTAACATTGTCATGTTATTTTTCCAATTTTCAATTATTGTTTTTGAATGAAGATTAATAATTAAATGTGATTAATTTTTTTGAATCTCCTAACGAAATCAATTTTCATTATATTTCAAATAGGTACCTACATATTCATCAAAAAATATCAAAACTTTAAAAAGGCATTTTTTTTCAAAAATGTATGTATAATTGCTTTTTGTTCAAAATGGGCGATATTTTGACGTGTTAACATCTTTATAGTCAATCCTAATACACCCTGTATACCTATAGCTAAAAATAAAGACGCTTCTCAAAAACAATAAATTGTAATAGTTTTTTAGGATTTAGGTAGGTAGGTATGTACCCATTATTGTTTTATAATCATCATCGGCAACATAGGTTTTTTTTTTATATATAAGTGGTTCTGATGCAAAACTGAGCTTGGCGTGTAAGAGAAACTTCTTCCGGAAGTTGAGTGGCCCAGAGCTAGGCTTGATCGATCATAGTTCTCACTTATTCTAAAATACTCACGAATATGTTAACCTCTATTTAGCTTTGTATGCAATTACATATTTTTGAATTTTTCAACAGAAAAAAACCGTTGCAGCATATCACTCTAGGGCTAGCCCCACAAAAATTTCAAATAAGATGGGGGTTGGATGACCCCAATGATCAAATTGATTATTCTCAATTTCAGAATCAATATGCCGAACAGCAATATTACCCTGATTCTGATGATAACCAAATTTCATTTGAAGAAAATGACTATATCAATAACAATCCCTATAACCAAAATTACGGAAATGCTAGTAACTATGGATACCCAGGTTATGATGAAAATTTTCAAATAGTGACCCCGACCAACAATGTGTCGTAATAAATCTAAATAATTATTCTAATTCCGATTTACCCGTTCTTATATTACCCGAATTAAATGCCAAATTCCTCATCGACACTGGTAGCGGAAAAAGTTTTATCAAACCCAATCTTGCCTATCAAATATACCCAAATTCAATCGACTTTGAACCATTTTCAGTGCGTACGGTACATGCGACATCAATTCACAATGGGGTAGTAAAAATTCCTATATTTCCTTCTTTTAATTGTCAAGGAAATCACAAATTTTATTTATTTGATTTTTCCCCAAAATTTGATGGATTATTAGGAACAAATTTCCTTATACAAATTGGGGCGAAAATTAATCTAAAAAATAAATACTTGAAAACGAGTCCCGGAAAATTGTTCGAAAATAATTGTTCGAACGGAAAATTCTTCGAAAGGAAAATTGTTCGAACGGAAAATTATTCGAAAAGAAAATTTTTCGAAAGGAAAATTGTTTGAACAGAAAATTGTTCGAAAGGAAAATTGTTCGAAGGGAAAATTGTTCCAAAGGAAAATTGTTCGAATGGAAAATTATTCGAACGGAAAATTGTTCGAACGGAAAATTGTTCGAAAGGAAAATTGTTAATAAATGTACTTATACGACTCGGAAGCGTAAATCTACCAAAATTGTGAAAAACCTTTTTTAAATACAACAGCTCGAAATTTCAATTTTTTTTGAATCTCCGATTGCTTGCTTCGCTCACCGAATCTCAAAGAGAAGCTCCGCGGAACCGTAAATTCGGCGTTGGTACAAAAGAGCGCAGCTCAAAAGCGAGCGGACAAAAGGGCACAGGTCAAAATATTATTGGCAACCAGTACACTTCTAATCAGTATTAAATGAACTGTAACGAAACTAACCAAAAATATGCAAACTAACCCAAACTAACCCGTCCACGTAATGCGTGCTAGTCCGTGTATGTTAATATTAAATTTAAAAAACCAAGCGCCTCCTATTGTCAAGCAGTACGCTTTTAGCCAGTATTAAACTAAACTAGCCCAAACTAACCCAAAAAAATGCAAACTAACCCAAATTAACCCGTCCACCTAATGCGTGCTAGTCCTTGTATATTAATATTGAATTTAAAAAACCAAGAATTAAGAATCAGGGACAAATAGTAAGAATTAAGGAATTGGGTAATTCCGGTCATAGATTCATTCAAGATTCACAGTTAAGCTATTGATTTTTCGGCAAAAAAACAATTTTCCGTTCGAACAATTTTCTTTCGAACAAATTTCTTTCGAACAATTTTCCGTTCGAATAATTTCCCGTTCGAATATTTTTCTGTTCGAACAATTTTCCGTTCGAACAATTTTCCGTTCGAATAATTTTACGTTCGAACAATTTTCCGTTCGAACAATTTTCCATTCGAACAATTTTCCTTTCGAACAATTTTCGGTTCGAACAATTTTCCGTTCGAACAATTTTCCGTTCGAACAATTTTCCGTTCGAACAATTTTCTTTCGAACAATTATTTTCGAACAATTTTCCGTGGACGCTTGA